AAATGGTATCTTGAAGCAGGTATGTTACTAAGGTAACAACTGTCAAATGTGCATTCTTTCTCAATTGATGTAATTACTTAGTTTCTACATCAATTTTTGGCTGCTTAATGATGGTATTGATACTATTATGAGATATGAGCACTTAAATTGGTAAATTTGAAACAAGTTTAAGAGTGACTTCTGGTTGGAGTTAGGATTGGGCTCATCTTATTGCTCAACTTATACCGGGAATGATAGTGAATAAACAAGTTTTAAACTTTTGGTGGTGTCTTATTTTATTGAGGTTACTATTATGAGATATGTGGATCCTGAAACTCTTTCAGAGCGCCGTAATGATGGTATTGATACTATTATGAGATATGAGCACTTAAATTGGTAAATTTGAAACAAGTTTAAGAGTGACTTCTGGTTGGAGTTAGGATTGGGCTCATCTTATTGCTCAACTTATACCGGGAATGATAGTGAATAAACAAGTTTTAAACTTTTGGTGGTGTCTTATTTTATTGAGGTTACTATTATGAGATATGTGGATCCTGAAACTCTTTCAGAGCGCCGTAATGATGGTATTGATACTATTATGAGATATGAGCACTTAAATTGGTAAATTTGAAACAAGTTTAAGAGTGACTTCTGGTTGGAGATAGCCAGATAGGATTGGGATCATCTTTTTGCTAGTGAAATGATACAAAATGTCTAGTTGTATTGCCTCTTATCTTAAACTCGGATCAAAGAGAATAGATTGTTATACATTTGTAACTTATGGCAATGAATAGATTCTCTGTAAATGATAGTGAATAAACTTAAGTTGATAAAACATAAAAGTGTCTACTATGCTTACTGCAATGAATACGTTGCTTTCTGCGTTTGATAAAACATCATGTGTTTCATGCTTTCATCTCTCTTTATTGTAGATTTGATGTTTTCATTATAAAGTGGTTCAACTGCTAGCTTAATATTTGCTATTATAGCAAAGCCAAATACCCTTTTTTTTTTTGGGTGTTTAGAGAGTCATAAGGGCGGGTGATGAGAATCGATCGCAAGATCTCTTGGAATCGGGAGGGGAGCTCTAACCCTCACTCTCGCAAAGCCAAATACTAATAATAATAAATCTTTTACTTGGTTGAAAATAAATTGGATTCACTTCAGCAAGACAGCAAATTTCTTGTTAAGTTGATAACATCTTGAATTTGCATATTCGAGTGTATGTTTAACTATTTACACAAGTTTACTCTTCTTAGCTGAAACTATAACATTTTTCAAAACAAACAAACATTTAAGGGGACTTTTTTTTTTTTGGGGGGGGGGGGTTGATATGAAGCTTATCAATAATTGTGATTTTAAATAAGATTATAAATTAAATTAAAATAAAATAAGTCAAGATAAGTCAAAATCATATAAAGACTTGTGTTTCTCTCCTACCAAAGGGGTTGAGAAAGACAAGTTTTGCTAGAAGATTTTGGTATATCCTCATTGAGGTTTTGTAAAAAATCTATTTTAGGGATGAATGGATCTAATTTACTTAAGTACTCGGGAATCCCTAAAAGACGAGAGCTTGCGTTTGCCCCTCTTGGTGCTACAATTCAACTAGGAAGATTGTTACACCCGCAATCAAAGCTCATTGGTTATATCTCTACGAAGTCATGTCAAGTATGCAGGTAGGGAAGGTAGTGGGTAGGGTCGTCTAGTAATACTCGGACTCGTACCTGGATTTTTTTCCGTACTCGAACCCTTAGGATTCAATTTTTAGACCCTTACTTGGACCCTGTGGGTCTAGCTAGGATCCAATCAGGGTCCTTTTACGTCCCCTCCGCCCCCCCCCCCCCAATTTTTAATTGTATTTTTTTTAGTGCACATTTACATATAGTACGCAAAAAAAAAAATTAATACATGAGAACATTAATAATTAATTTGACAAATTATAACACAATTATAAAACTGGCGATGCGAATATTGCCTGATATCAGTGACTCGACAAAACAAAATGTAGTAAAGTACTGAAGTTGAGGACTTGAGGTTTCTCTATTCACTACAAAAAATGTCCATACAGAAACGGAATTCTATCCGTTTCTAAATTAGAGACGGAATCAGAAAATCCGTCTCTTAATTAATTTAGAGACGGAATTTAAAAATCTCTTTCTAAATTAGAGAAGGAATTAAAAATTCCGTCGCTAAATTAGCAACGGAATTGAAAATCCGTCTCTAAATTAGAAACGGATTTTTTTTCCGTTGCTAAATTAGCAACGGATTTTTTTCCTGTTGTTGTATCTAGCTACAGATTTATTTTCCGTTGCTAAATTTAGAGACGGATTTTTTTTCCGTTGCTAAGTTAGCAACGAATTTTTTTTTTCGTTGCTAAGTTAGAGAGGGATTTTTTTTTTCTGTTGCTAAGTTAGAGACGGATTTTTTTTTTTCCGTTGCTAATATAAGCGACGAATTTTTGATTCCGTCTCTAGATAATTTTTTAAACTAATTCTGTAAAATATTACATTAGAGACGAATTATGTAAGTTAAATTCATCTCTAAACTAGAAACGGATTTTCAATCCGTCTCTAACTAGAAACAAATTTTTAAATCCGTCTCTAAATTAGAGACGGGTTTTAAATTCCGTTTCTAAACTAGAGACGGATTTTAAATTCCATCGCTAATATTTCTTTCATTTATTATCAATTATGTGCGTAAAAGTAAACAAATAATATTTGGTATAGTTGGTAAGAGTCTCACTATTTGACATTGAGGTCACGGGTTCGACTCCTACTAACATCAATCTTGCGATTGGAGATTCAAGGGGCATTACATGGAAAGCCGAGTCGGGTCGACCCAAATAGCAGCTCTTTTTTAAATTCAAAATGTTTTATTCCGTTGCTGAAGCTAGCAACGGATTTTTATTTCCCACCGGTTCAAAACCGGTGGAAATTCCTAATTTGCCATCGGTTTGGTTTGAACTGGTGGCATTTTTATTAGTGTAAATCCCGCCTATTTTTTCCCCAACGATTTTGAAAAAACGGTGGCTTTTCCTCGGTGCCAAATTGATATTTTCTACTAGTGTATAGCATTTCAACAACATTAGCACAATCAGAATAAATGATGGTATGTTGTATTTGCTTATGCTTCAGAAATTTCAAGCCCTCCCTTATTGCCATCAATTCCGCCATAAGGGCCGACTTTGCATAGACTCGTTGGTAGAACCCAGTGCACCAAGTACCATCATGATTCCTAATAATCCCTGCAATAGCGGCTGGTTCACCAACTTTGATAAAATGAGGCATCAACATGGAGCATATGGCATACATGGGGGTGTATAGGGTCGACATGGATAAACTAGATTAGAGTAGAGCTATCAGCACCTTTAGCTAGCCAAAATCCCAAGCTTGAGAGGAGGCAAGGTATACAATAGTTTGGAGGGAAGGGAAGGGTTCATTTTGGAAAACGAGATTATTGCTACCTTTTCATATTTCAAAACACAAGATAGGAAACAAAGTTCTCCAAGCTAGGTCCCCCCCCCCCAATAAGATTGGTGGTTAAATTACTATCAAGCCGCCCACCATTATTATCTTCCTGCAAAAAATAGATCAATATTGATAACCTGAGTCAAGTCCCAAACGACTTTCGAGAGAGGGCAATCCCTAAAGGTATGGATGGAGTCCTCAAGATTAGAGGGGCAATTAGGGCAGTTGGAATTGTCGATGAGGGTGGTGGTATGGTGGTGGCGGGCAAGAAATGAAAATGAAAATACCTATGGGGGTCGGAATTGGCTTGGACGGATTTGGGGAATGGAGAGAGTAAAGGGAATGAGATAAAGACCTAACAAAGGAAATAAGGACAGTTAAATCCTTTTCCCTTTGATTAATACCCCAACCAAACGGCCCATAAAATGTACGGAGTAAGGAAATGTTCTCTTCAACTAGTTTCAGCTACTTACTCCTTTATTCATTAAAATCAGATCAGCTTAGACTAAAATCATTCAGGTCAAATTAAATCATAACTTTTAATTATTATCTACTTGTTGCTATATATTGTTAATTGTGTATTAAAATATTATGAGAATTACCTTTTTGAAAAGTTCCTAAATCTCCAATGGTTTTACAAAAAAGACCTGCTTGCAAATTAAATTAAATTGTAAGCATGTAGATTACTGTTGGAGTGACAATATTGATGTAGCTACATCAAGCTAGGTTGCTCAAACAAGCTACGTTGCTTGATTTTTCAAAGTACTTCATCCACTTATATTATGACATGTGTATAATTACAATTATTTAATTTATTTACTTATATTTTCAAGCTACAACATTCTATTGCTCATAATTGGAGCACCTTGTAGCTTAATAATATACTAGCTCAAAATTTTGATGTATCAAGGTAAGCAACAAGCCTTTGTAGCTTACCATTGGAGATAATGACACGTATCTAACAAAATCCATTTTGATAATTTTATTTTTAATCATTAAAAATTAATATTAAAATACAATTAAAGTTTAGTAAAATTATAAAATCAGATCATCTTTCAAAAAAAAAAAAAAAGATCAAATAAGATAATAAAAATTCAATTAGACCTTACAAAAATAAGACTAAATCTCTTTGTTTGAAGTGAATAGAAAAAATCAATTATCAGTACTTTTGTTTTCTACTTTTCTGTAATAATATTTCTAGGCTTCCTCGTTTTATTTTGGCCCAAACTTATATTTGACTAATCTTGACGGAGTTTTGTTTCTATAATAAAAAAACTAAAGAGGATTTTTCAAAAAAAAAAGGAAAAAAAAAAAAAAAAAAAAACCAAAAAAAAAAAAGAGGAAAAAAGAAACTGTTATAATTTTATTTTTATTTTTTTCAAAAAAAAAAAAAAAAAAGAAACTGTTATAAATACTACGAAGTATACTGTTTTTTTGTAATTTTCCACATTTAAATCAAACAAAGCATTTCTTGGACTTCAACTGTAGTGTTGCCGCCAAAATCACCACCATTTTCTCTCTCCGCAATACTCGCCGCCGGAAAACCCCAACTCCATGTCTTCTCCGCCGCAATCTCCGCCGCATAAGAAGCTGAAAAGCACCACCGAAGACCCTGACGAAGAAACCCAGAACAATGAAACTCAGAACTCTGAAACCCAGAACAGAGAAACCCAGAACTCTGAAACCCGGAACAATGAAACCCAGAACTCTGAAACCCAGAACAGAGAAACCCAGAACAATGAAACTCAGAACTCTGAAACCCAGAACAATGAAACCCAGAACTCTGAAACCCAGAACAGAGAAATCCAGAACAGAGAAACCCAGAACAGAGAAATTCCGAAGCACATGATATTGAAATTCTTGAGTGAAACCCAGAACAGAGAAATTCCGGATCACGTGATATTGACTGAAATCCTTCCAAGACTTCCCGCCGATTCACTTCTCCGATTCAAACAGGTCTGTAAAGAATGGGAGTTGCTAATCTCGAGTCCCGAGTTCATCAATGATCATGCGTTTCGCCCAAATCCTCTCTCCTCGAGGTCTGTTCTTTCAATTGCCCATGATTCTTCATTAACTGCTATTGATTACGAAGATCTATCTACCACCCATTTTGGCCTGTATTCCTCTGTAAATCCCATTGCCTTGATTGGTTCTTGTAATGGCTTAGTTTTGTTGATTTCTGCTCATGCGCCAAAGGGTAAATTTCTTCTTTATTTTAAATATGATTTTAGGGTTTTTAATCCTGTTCTTGGTGCTCCTGGTATTACTATTTTCCCTCCTCCAAACTTTATTTGGAGTATTCATTATGCTGCAAATGACTATAGTTTTGGGTTTGGTTATTCTTCAACTCATAAGGAATTCTACATTGCTGCTATTAATTTTCCTCACACCTTGCTTCTTCCTGGGATAGTTGTCTTTTTATACAACTTAAGTACCACAAAATGGTCTACATTTCATGTACCGCGAACAGCATGGCGATACATTGAGGAACAAAGAATGTTTATTGCAGTTCAAGAAGCTTGGTATAAACATAGTGGAACACTGGTGAATGAAGCTTTGCATTGGAGTGTTGTTATATTAGGAAATAATATCAAATGCATTGTTGTCTTTGATTTGGTTAGTAAGAAGGTGACTTTTATGAAATTACCGTATGCCTATTTTGGGGATCCTGCAATACTCACTCGTTCTGCTTTTAGTCTGTGTTGTTTGAATAATTGCTTGTGTGCTTGGGCTTATTCTAGAGATGGAAGATTAGTTGATTTGTGGATGATGAAAGAATATGGTGTGCAAAAACCATGGACCAGGTTGTTTAGCGGTGATATGAAATCTACATATTGGTATTTTTTTGGACTTACCTGTTAGGATTAGTGTGGAGATAGATAAATACATGGAGACATAAGGAGATTGCATAGAAGCTGCCTTATTGTTAAGGTTCGACCAAACTTGTGAAAAGTTCGGTCGAACCCGGTTTTAAGTCAGTAGGTGCACCAGTTTACATTTCTAGAGGAGGAGTGACCAAACCCAAGGAGGTTCGACCGAACCACCCTAGGTTCGACCGAACTCTGGGTAGGTTCGGCCGAACCTCCCTGCTCCCTATTTCGTCGCTTCGTTTTCGGCTTGTGCGATTTGCTTTAATCTTAGCCGTTGGATTGTATTTTCTACCTAGACTATATATACCTTTTCTAAGCCTCTTTGTTGAGTATTCACAAACATTTAAACACAGAGAGAGGTTTTGAGAGGGTTTGTGAGGAGCATTTGAATTCTATACAATTCATGCTTGTAATTCTTGAGTTCATTCATCATCAATATTACTCCATAGTGCAAGGGTGGGTTTTTTCTCCCGGTTCTCGGGTTTTTCCACGGTAACATTGTCTTCCTTTTACTTGCTTTAATTCCTTCAAAGTTGTTCTTGATTGTTATGCTTGTTTGTTCATTGCTATTGTGGGTTGATTGCAAGTTAGTTGAACACTTTAATCCTTACAATTGGTACCAGAGCCAAGGTTGAATCTTTGGTGTTTTGATGATTTAGGGTTTGTGTTAAACTTGAAATTGTGATTGAGTTTCAAAGTTTGGAACTTTAGGTGTTCAAAGTTTGAGTCTTGGGTGTCAAGTTGCATTCTTTGTTGTTGAAAACCTATTGTGAACTTTGTGTGTTTGATTTGCAATGGAAGAAGGCAAGTTGAGAATTGAGAAGTTTGATGGGAAGGATTTTGGGTTTTGGAAGATGCAAATAGAGGACTATTTGTATCAAAAGAACCTATATTTGCCCCTTACTAGTAAACCATCGGGTATGAAGGAAGAGGAGTGGAAAGTATTGGATAGACAAGCCCTTGGAGTGATTAGATTGACATTGGCTAAGAGTGTTGCTTACAATGTCAAAGATGTGACAACGACGGTTGGTGTGATCAAAGCATTGTCCAATATGTATGAGAAGCCATCGGCTATGAACAAGGTGTTCTTGATGCGTCGTTTGTTTGAAATTGAGATGAATGATAGTGGTTCCGCCCCCGAACATATAAATGAATTCAATTCAATAATCTCTCAACTAGCTTCGGTTGAGATTAAGTTTGATGATGAAGTGAGGGCCTTGATCTTGTTGTCATCGTTGCCTAGAAGTTGGGATACCGTTGTAGCCGCCATTAGCAACTCTTCCGGAAAGTCGAAGTTGAAGTGTGATGATGTGAGGGACTTAATCTTGAGTGAGAGCTTGAGAAGGAAGAACTCGGGTGAGTCATCGGGTGGTGCTTATTCTAGTGAAGGTAGGGGACGTGGAAGACAACAAAGAGGTGCTCAAAGAGGAAGATCGAAGTCTAGAGGGAGGAGTAAGTCGAAAGGGAAGGTGAACATTGTGTGTTGGGGTTGTGGTGTGAAAGGGCATACTAAGAGGGAATGTCCTAATCCCAAGAAGAAGGGTGGTTCAAACCACAAGAACCACGATGATGCTAGTTCATCGGTTAGCTTGGCATCAAGCGATGAAATCGGTGATGCATTGATCTTGAGTGTTGATAGTCCCATTGAGTCTTGGATCCTTGATTCGGGAGCTTCATTTCATTCTTCTCCATGTAAGGAGATTTTCCAAAACCTCAAGAGTGGCAAGTTTGGAAAGGTGTACCTTGCGGATGATGAACCGTTGGAAATTTTGGGGAAGGGAGATGTCATGATCAAGACCTCAAGTGGGAGCTCATGGAAACTTGAAGATGTTAGGTACATACCTAAGCTAAGGAAAAATTTGATTTCGGTGGGTCAACTAGACTCAAGCGGTTATAGAACCATGTTTGGTGAGGGTACTTGGAAGGTGTCAAAAGGAGCTATGGTGGTGGCTAGGGGCACGAAGACCGGTACTTTGTACACTACCTTAGGGTGTACAAGCATGATTGCTACAACCGCAAATAATAAGACTAAGCTATGGCATACTCGGCTTGGTCACATGAGTGAGAAAGGGATGAAATTGCTAGATTCAAAGGGTAAGTTGTCGGGGTTGAAATCAATCGACATGAAATTTTGTGAGACATGTGTTTTTGGGAAACAAAAGAAGGTGTCTTTCACAAAAACCAAACGGTCCTTGAAGAAGGAGAAGCTAGAACTTGTGCACACGGATGTTTGGGGCCCATACCCCATCAAGTCCCTTGGTGGTTCTCGCTATTTTGTCACTTTCATTGATGATTCAACCCGGAAAGTATGGGTATATTTCATGAAGCACAAGTCGAAAGTGAATGAGAAGTTCAAGACTTGGAAGGCGGAGGTTGAAAATGTTTCGGGCAAGAAGATTAAGGCAATCAAGTCCGACAATGGAGGAGAGTATGAGTTGGAAGCTTACAAAAACATTTGTAAGGAGCATGGCATTGTTTTGGAGAGGACCATTCCCGGTAAACCTCGCCAAAACGGGGTAGCGGAACGGATGAATAGGACCTTACTTGAAAGGGCGAGGTGTATGAGGTTGTTTGCGGGCCTTCCAAAATGTTTTTGGGCGGATGTCGTTAGTACCGCGGCTTACTTGATAAACCGTGGACCTTCGGTACCTTTGGAATTCAAGATACCGGAGGAGGAGTGGAGTGGTAAGGAGGTGTCCTACACTCACTTGAAGACCTTTGGTTGTGTGGCCTATTTGCAATCCGAAAAGAGAGACAAGCTAGACCCAAAAGCCATCAAATGTTACTTCATCGGGTATGGATGTGAGAAATATGGTTATAGATTGTGGGATCCTAAGAATCGAAAGATTGTTAGGCATTGTGACATCACTTTTGATGAGAGCTCTTTGTACAAAGACAACTTTGGTGGGAAATCCGTTGAGAAAGAATCAATTGAAGATGAGCGGAAATTTGTTGAGCTAGATGGTAAGGTTAGAAGTGATAAGGAAGTTGAACAGGTAGAAGTTGAGGTGCAAATTCAACAAGCATCTCCTCAACATGGTGCTCATGTTCCGGTGGATTCGGATTCAAGTGATTCGGATGATGATGATCACTTGGAAACGGATGAGCGAGTAGTCATGGGTGAGCCCGTTGTGGTTCATGGAGAGCCATCTACACCACCAACGGTGAGGAGATCATCAAGAATAATCAAGCCACCACACCGATATTCTCCATCCTTGCATTATTTGTTGTTGACGGATTCCGGTGAGCCGGAATGTTATAAAGAGGCAATGGGCATGGGTGACTCGTTGAAGTGGGAGCAAGCAATGGAAGATGAGATGTCTTCATTGGAGAAAAACAACACTTGGGTGCTGGTTGAGTTGCCTAAGGGCAAGAGAACACTTTTGTGCAAGTGGATCTTTCGAAAGAAAGAAGAATCGGATGGTACAATTCGGTACACGGCAAGACTTGTGGTGAAAGGTTTTTCACAAAAGGAGGGCATTGATTATCATGAGATCTTTGCTCCGGTTGTGAAGCTAACCACTATAAGGATCTTGTTGGCTATAGTGGTTTCGGAGGACTTATTTCTTGAGAAAATGGATGTAAAAACCGCGTTTTTACATGGTGATTTGGAGGAGGAAATCTACATGAAGCAACCGGAAGGGTTTCAAGTTCCGGATCAAGAGAATTTGGTGTGCAAGCTTAAACGGAGTCTATATGGGTTGAAACAAGCTCCTAGACAATGGTACAAGAAGTTTGACAATTTCATGCTAGGCAATGGTTTCGTGAGAGCGGAAGGTGACCATTGTTGCTACTTTCAAAGGTATGACAATGGCTATATCTACTTGCTTTTGTATGTTGATGATATGTTGATTGCGGGAACTAGTATGGAAATTGTCAATGACTTGAAAAAGAAGTTGTCAAGAAGATTTGAGATGACAGACTTGGGTGAGGCCAAGCAAATACTTGGCATGAGAATTTCTAGGGATAGCTCAACGGGTGTGTTGAAGTTATCTCAAGAGGAGTATGTCAAGAAGGTGCTTAAAAGATTTAACATGATTGATGCAAAGCCTCGAAGCTCACCTCTTTCAAGTGAGCTCAAGTTGACTAAGGAGGATTGCCCAAAGACAAGGGAAGAGAAGGACAAAATGGCCATTGTTCCTTATGCTTCGGCCGTTGGTAGCATGATGTATGCTATGATTTGTACGAGGCCCGACATTGCTCACGCAGTGGGAGTTGTGAGTAGGTTCATGTCAAATCCGGGTGAGAGACATTGGGAAGCCGTGAAGTGGCTATTGAGGTATTTGTTGGGTACTTCAAGTATGGCTCTTTGCTTTAGGAGAAATGGAGTTGTTTTGGAAGGTTTTGTTGATGCCGATTTTGGAGGATGTTATGATTCAAGCAAAAGCACTTCGGGGTATGTGTATACTATTGGTGGTACGGCCATTAGTTGGATGAGCAAGCTCCAAAAGTGTGTCTCTATGTCTACGACGGAAGCCGAGTATGTGGCTATGTCGGAAGCGGGAAAGGAGATGGAATGGTTGAAGGGTTTCCTTGAAGAAATGGGCATGAAACAAGATGTTTGTGCGTTGTATAGTGATAGCCAAAGTGCGGTTCAATTGGCTAAGAATCCTATGTTTCATTATCGCACTAAACACATCAAGAGGCGTTATCACTATACTAGGAGTTTGGTGAAGGATGGCACGATGTGTTTGAGGAAGATTGCCGGTTCAAAGAATCCGGCGGATATGCTCACTAAAGCTGTTTCTAGTGACAAATTGAGGTTGTGTAGGACCTCAATTGGACTCCATCATTAATTTGAAGGAGTGTTGTGCTATGGTGAAATTGTTTTGATGAATGTATTAAGTGTTCTTGAGGAAGGAGTGTGTATGTGGTAGTCTATGGTGCATGTTTGATCCTATCTCCAAGTGGGAGATTGTTAGGATTAGTGTGGAGATAGATAAATACATGGAGACATAAGGATATTGCATAGAAGCTGCCTTATTGTTAAGG